GGGGTTGGGGAGTGTGGAAAAAAACCAGAATAATCTTATTTAAACCATCTGGTGATTGTGGGGATCTGAGGCATGATTTTTGAACTTTTAGGGATGGCAGCAGGGCGGATGCACCCACTAAGCCACAGACAGTGGTAGGGTCTCAGGCCCGGGAAGCCCCTGAAATGGGTAACTAGAGCTGGACTCACTCCTTCCCCTTGGGGGGGGGGGGGTTCCATATGTCAGAATGTGGTTTGGTCCGCTTTGGAACCAAGCCCCGAAGTTCTAAATTCTCCGAGGGGGGGGCAGAGCCCCAGCTGCAGGGCAAGGGCACTCCGCCTGGCTAGCACCCAGCAACCTGCCCGGCGGGCTGCCAGGAGCCGAGCGGGGAACCTGCCTGATTTCTGCGAGTTTGGGCGAAATGGAACCAGTCCCACGACTTCGCCAAATCAGCAAATTCCAACCAAACATTTTCCTCTTGGAATTTTCCCCGCCGGCTCTCGAGTGAGTCCGGACGCGCGTGGGTTGTGCTGAGGTTGGGGGCCGCAGGGCACATGTAGGGGACACTGACCCCCGCTGGGCACAGCCTGCTCCTCCTCCTCCCCGCCCCCCGAGCAGTCAGCTGTGTGCTGCGGCCGGGTCCCATGCACCCCCCCGAATGGGGAGGCAACTCCGAGCTCCCAGGGGGGCTGGGCACTGCAGGCTTCCCAGTGCCGAGGAGGCAGCAGGCGCCACACACGTGCAGGGGGCCGGCGGGGGGTGCGGGCCGGGCTACTTCACGTATTGTTCTGCGGCCAGTGCCTCTTTCGGGCTCCGCGTATCGCTGTCAGGAGCGGACGATCCTCGGACGGGCCCGCTCCCAGCCCTCCCGAGCCCGCAGCACCATGTCAGCGGGAGGAGCGCCCCCAGCCCGCCCCCGGCTCCCGGGATCCCTGCGCCTTTAGCCCCCTCCCCGCCCCCGCCCAGCCAGTGCGCAGAACTAGGAGGAAATTCCCCGGTCGCTGCCACTGACGAACGGGGAGAGCAGGTGCGGGGGACACGGCGCGGAGCCCCGCGGTCTCCCTTTGTCCTGGCAGCTGCGCGGCGAGGGGAGGGGAGACCCCCCCGCTCCTGCCCCTGCCAGCGAGCCGGGCTTGGCTGGTTCCGCGCTAGCTACTGCACCGGCGCCGCTCCCCGAGCTGGAGCCGCGGGAGAGTCCGGAGGCCGCTGCGCCCAGGGACACAGCGGGCCTGAGCCCCCCAAGGCAGCGTCCCCAGCTCGGATCGGCCCCCGGGGGCAGCTCGCCAAGGCGGGTGTGGACACGAAGTGCCGGTGGCCGCCCGGCTCCGCGGAAGCAGGGACACAAAGGCTGGGCGTGGGCGCGCTGCGGGGGCGGATCCGCTCCCTGAGCCGGGGCCAGCCTGCCCGGGGGGCGCAGCTCCGCGGCTGAACCCCCGCCGGGGGAGGCGCGAGGAGCCAGTGTCGGGGGCAGAGCCGCCCCCTGGGGCTTCCCGGCTTTAGGGCCCTGCGGGGCAGCCCCGCTTGGCGGGGGCCCGGACCCGCGGCGCCTGCCCCCGGGCGCCATGGCCTGCAGCCTGAAAGACGAGCTGCTCTGCTCCATCTGCCTGAGCATCTACCAGGACCCGGTGAGCTTCGGCTGCGAGCACTACTTCTGCCGGAAATGCATCACGGAGCACTGGGTCCGGCAGGAGCACCAGGGCGCCCGCGACTGCCCCGAGTGCCGCCGCACCTTCGCCGAGCCCACGCTGGCGCCGAGCCTCAAGCTCGCCAACATCGTGGAGCGCTACGCGGCCTTCCCGCTGGACGCCATCCTGAGCGCGCGGCGCAGCTCCGCGCCCTGCAAGGACCACGAGAAGGTCAAGCTCTTCTGCCTCACGGACCGCGCCGTGGTCTGCTTCTTCTGCGACGAGCCCGCCGTGCACGAGCAGCACCAGGTCACCAACGTGGACGACGCCTTCGAGGAGCTGCAGGTGGGCGCCCCCGGGGCTGCAGACGGGATGGGCCCGGCTCCCGGGGGAGGGGCCAGGCCCTGCTGCTGGCTGGTGCTGGGGGAGCCGGGCTTGCCTGGCAGGGCCGAGCCCCGACCCGTCTGGCCCTGGCAGTGCTAGAAACAAGGAGGAGTCTGGTGGCACTTGAAAGACTATCAGATTGATTTGGTCTTTCAAGTGCCAGCAGACTCCTGGTGGTTTTTGTGGACCCCGGCTAACCAGGCCCCCCTCTGATCCTCAGTTGTGAATGTAAAAAAATCGCTTGTGCCCCAGCACCTCTTTCATTACGCACTGAGCTCTGCCGAAGAGGTGCCCCTAAGCTAAAACCCTGCGCTCAGCCTGGCTGCCCGGCTGCCGCTCTGCTCTGAACTGGGCTCCCATCCCCCCTGCAGGGCAGTGCCTGCCCCCAGCCCGGCTCTGGACTGGTCTAGAGCCCTCAACCTGCTTGGCTCAGGCAGTAGCTCTCTACTGGGGCGGCTGACGAGAGCCCAGAACCCCTGCCCCGTGCCAGGGGAGGGAGGGAGCGAGCGCTGTGTGGCAGGACCAGCATTAGCACATCAGCCCTATGCTGGGCTCCTGGAGAGAGCTTCTGCTGAGGGCACAGATGGTGCCACACGCCCCCCTTCTGTCCCTTCCCTGGAGGGGGCTGCCTTGTCTCATCCTCTACCCTCCCCTTGTTTCATTAACCACAGTTCTTGTTATCGGGGTTTCTAACTGGAGCCAGCCCCCGGGGAGGGCCTGTTCCCCAGGCAGGTTCACCACTCCTCCAGCTGCTTCACAAAGAGGGGTGGTGAACCCCTCATTTAACAAAAGGAGCAGCCAGCCCCTTTCTGCGCCACTTAGCAGGGATCATGCCCCCAAACAACCCTTAGCAAACTGGGCCTCCTCTTGACCCCATCCCCCACCCGCAGTTCTCTTCTCACGCCCATCTGCCTGCTTTGCTGCACTGTGCATCCGTCTGAGCATGCATCTCAGCTCCCCTGGGTACCGTCCAGTGATTCAAATGGTACTTGACTTGAGTAGCATTATAATGGACTGGCCGTATACTAGCTCCCAGGATCCTGCGGTCCACAGAGCTACAAATACCCACTAGGAAGATGCCAAAGACCAAATGGTGCAGAAAGACCGATAGCCCTGTGGAATGAATCCACTTCCCTCTGCTGGGGAGTGATATGGCGTTCCTTCTATCCTGAGTGCTGCTGAAAGGGGTAGCACAGTAAACAGCTTTCTCTCTAGTCTGCAGTGTACCATGCCTTGGGGTCCTGTGGCACCTTACGGACTAACAGATGTATTGGAGCATAAGCTTTCGTGGGTGAATACCCACCTCGTCAGATGTATTCACCCACGAAAGCTTATGCTCCAATACATCTGTTAGTCTATAAGGTGCCATAGGACTCTTTGTTGCTTTTTACAGATCCAGACTAACACGGCTACCCCTCTGATAATTGATGCCTTGGGGGTGAGCAACAGAGGTTGAGATTTAAGATAGGGATGATTGAATGCCATGCTTCAGGGCATTCAGTGATCACTTTTCAGGGGTCAGGAAGGAACTGTGTCCCTCCTGTGCAGCAATGCACAATTGGCCTGGGACATCATGAGGCTTTTCTTTCCCCTTCCTCTTGGAGCCTCAGGTGCCAGGATACAAGACGTGATGGACCTCTCTGTGTGACACCTTGCTGCGGAGGTTTTATTTGGGTAGATGTGAGTGGTCTGTGCTTACATCTCTCTTTGCTCTCAGTGACAAAGCTTGCTTGCCTCCAGGGCAAGAGATGAGCTGAGCTTCTCAAACTTGAGACATCCATGAGCCTGTCTCCTAATTTTCCAATGGGTCACGTAGCCGGGCACAGTGCAGTGGATGATTTACAACGCATGCTCTGCCAGTATCGTTGGAGGCATCATGTTGGGTGGAAAGCTGGAGAGCACATATCTGTTTGAATCTTTGGATTAATAATCTAGCAAGAGGGGGGCTGGGAGCTCAGTCTCCTGCTGCTTAGTACCCTTTGGGATTGTTAAAGCAAATTTCCTCTTCTGTACGAATTGGACTTTAACCAGGGGAGCTGGGTTGTTTTTTTTTTTATGGCTATGAAGTGAAACTGGCTAAGCTCTCTGCCAGAGACCACTGACTCATCACTTCCCACTTGATAGCAGCACTTACTGCCTTATTGAGGATACATCTGGCTGGGATCAGGGCAGCATGCAGCCTGAGATCTCAGCGATAGGGCGCAGTTATTACCCTCCCCCTCCAGAGTGGGGTCTGAGCTGGCTTTAGGATCTTTGGGTCCCTGAACTATAGGTGGGAAGGGGCTAGGCATGGTGGGGTGCTGGTGAAGAAAAAAGGGGTAGCCTGTGAATTGCCCAAAAAATCACAGGGCCTCAAAGAGTTGTGCGTGCTTTGGATTGTCCTAGGATGCCTGCAGGGTGGGAGATGTATCTAATTGGGCTATGAGGGAAGGGGGGGTTCAGGAGGGAGACTAGTGGGGGTTCTCCACTGGGGACTGCTGATTATTTAGGAGTGGCCAAAGCACCCCTAGTATGAAGTTCCTGGGCTCATTCATGATTCAGAACTGTTCCCAAATTCCTCCTGCGGATTATTCTCGCCCTATGGGTGGTTTTCACTGAGTTTGTGAAATCAGGTTCTTTACTGGTTAGCAGTAGAAGTCACATGGTATTGTTCCTGCTTCCTGATTGGGTGATTTATGTAACTAACCAGCAACTACAATGGATTTTTAAATCATTTCAGAGATCAAATTTGAAAATTCCCCTCGTGCTGGTTCTGCTTTGCACTGAGGGATCCCAGACTGAAAAGTCTCTTAGGAAGACAGACATTGCCAGGCCAAATCAGAACAGGGACCTATCTAGCCTGGTATCCTGGCTCTGACATGGCCAGCACCAGTTGCTTCAGAGGAAGGTGCAAAGAGACTTCAGTTATGGAATGACCTGCCCACAAGGGACGTTTTTACCTAACTGCTGTCAGTCAGTGGTTCGCTGGTGCATGGAGCAGGAGGATTTATAGCCCTCATCCATATAAACCTCTCATCCTTTTTATTTAGGTTTCCTAATAAGTTCTTGAACTATGTGGCAGTGAGTTCCACAGGTTAATACTGTGCTGTGTAGAGAAATATTTGTTAGGATCCATTTTAGGTTTTTCTGCCGTCCAGTTTTATGAGCTGCTGCCCTGTTCTTAGAAAGGGTGACTGGAGCTCCTCTTTCCAGGGAACTGAATGTGAGAGGATCACAAGGTGTTCACTCTGACGTTGGTATACGCCGCTTTGCACTGCGCACTCTGCTCAGCCAGTGACAGGCAAATTGGGCTGATTTCAGAAGATCTGTATTTTACAGACATAAGTAGCTTCTGTCACTCAGTGAATCTCTAACAGGCTGGTCATCATGGCAACAACTGGTGACTATGACCTTACCTCAGGCTCTTTCTTGCTGCATTTGAAAGCTATTGGCATTTAGTAGCAGGTCTGGAGTTAGGGCTTTTGGTTGGGAAGGGGGGTGCTCTGGGAGACTGGGAATCCAAGGTTGATTGGGGGCTGATGGGAGCTGGGAGGGGTTTGCCAGTCTTGTGGATCCGAATCTGGTTGCCTTGCTCTTTGCTAGGTCAGGAATCCTGTGCCATCCCAGCACGTGATGGTAGCTGTGCCGGGTTGAGCAGCTTCCTCCACTGCATACGCTAGATTGAGCGGTTGCTTTGCATGGCTAGGAACGGCGACCTCTCCTGCTTGGAGAATCCAGATGGGACTCCAGCCATTTCTCCTCTTGCCATAGTGGTGCGTTGGCACTAGTCACATTAGCCGCGAAATGGCTGGGGGACTTGACTGCTCAGAGCTTATATCGTATTTTAGGATTTTATCCTGCCACTCATCATGATGGTATCTGGGCACCTTCAGTGTAAAATCAGTAGCAATAGTGAAGTCCCTAGTAGGGGTCTCTGGCATTTCTCCATTTTCAGGACCCAAACTCTGGCTGGGGTAGGTTTTTCTTTTTTTGCTGGTAGGGGCTTGTAGAGGGGATGTCGTGCTGTGTGTGTCATTCTTGTGGTGGAAAGGGCTTCTCAGAAAGGAAAGTTTTGCAGCCTTTCTTAAAGATGGTCTGATTCAGGATTTCCCCATTCTGCTTGGAAGATTGCTTTGTCCCCTGCCCAGTCCTGCGTGCTTTGTCCTGGGCTTAGCGCTCCACATTGTCCCTGAAAAGCACAGCTGTTACAGTAGTTCATGGCTCAGAATTCAGTCATTGATATAGCTGGGGGTAGGGCTATAAATTGTTTTTAAAATTAGGAACAAGGCGTTAAATTGGCATTGAAAGCGACTGGGAGCCAGTGGAGAGACTGACCCACGGCGGCCTGAGCCGTGGAGAAGGTGTGCAGCTGTATTCTGTTCCAGCAGGGATCGCTGACTGCCCCGAGAGGAATCTGCCCACCTCTCTGCTTCACATGCCCCCCAATGTGTACTGCTTCTGCTCCACCCGTGCTGCCCACCCAGGATGAGATGCAGCACTGCCATTGGCTAGCAACCCCCTTGAAGCGGTAGCTTACATCTAGCATACATGCTGCAAGGCCAGGTAGCAGAGTTAGTCTTTGTTACTTGCATCGCATGGTAATTGTGCATGTTGTGAACGCAGTCATGCCAGGGCCTGCCTCAAAGAGCTTGCTGGTGCAATATAGACAGTGAAGGGTGGCAACAGTGAGATCAAGGCTCTAAGAGTGGGATCTAATGAGAGGTTTAATTGGGGAGAGGGAGGCTGCTAAGGGATCTATATGTTGTTTGCAGGAGGAAATGGTCATTTTTCCATCAGAAATTGTCCCCTTGTTTCACCCAGGTGGTCCAGGTACAGTCGGGGGAAAGCGTTTCATTCTCCTTGTGCAGCAGAGAGCGCGGCGCCATCAGCCGGGGGGAGGATATTCTCTGCCTGGCCCCAGAAGCAGCTCCTCGGCCGCCCTGCTGGGCAGCCTGCTGCTCCTCCGATTGCTGTGGGCTTGA